CCCCACTTGAATATTCTAATTTTTCAAAATTCTCCAAAACTATCATTGAATCGCAAAATATATTTCAAACCATTTCATATTATCATTTAGACCATTTGAAACAAAAAAATTACAAAAATATACAATTTTCCCAAAAATTACCAAAATACCCCTATATCCCTAAAATACCCAATTTCCAAAAATTTCTTAGAGTCACCAATAAGTCCAAAAATTTCTTAGAGTCACACCAAATCATTCTTTATGTCTTCCCGAGAATTTTGACTGTAAACTTGCTATACTTCCAGATAACTTTTTGACACCTCGACACCAAAATAACGAATACTTAAAAAATATTTCGGGGATCATAAAACCTTCCACATTGATCGAAAATGACCCCTAACATTGTCATTTGACTCCAAATTTCTTTCTGAACCACCTTGAGCCTTTCAATCAACATTTTGACCACTTTGACCAAAGTTGACCAAAATGCCACTCATTGCCCAAAAATTCTAAATTCCTCCAAAATGATTTCAAACACCCTTAAAACCAATTCTTGACCATCCATTGGGTCCAATTTGACCAAATTCACTTACTTTGACCAAATACTTTGACCAAAATTGCCAAATGAAAAGAAAAAGAAAGAGCTTAATGATCAATCAAATACCTCAAAAAGAAAAGAAAAGTTGAAAAAGGATGGAGAAGCTTGAGGATTAGTGTCTAAATAGATTCAATTTCAATTGAATCTAAATCCATTTAGTTGGCCCATGATCAATTTTCGAAACGATCGACCACGAACAAAAAATTCAACGCAAATTAAATTTGACGCATTTTTTACATGACTGTGACGAAAGTGGTCCGAATGACCTCGATTGAAGAAACAGACTACACGAGTGTCCCGAACGTCAATTTTATCTAGGAGGGACGTTGATTTCACAGCGAGGATAAATTCAAGTGGAAATGCGGGGAATGAGAATAATAATAATAATAATAAATAATATTATTATTATATAATAAAACAAATAAAAAAAATCTTATCTAAACCCACACTCACGCATGCATGAGGCATGCACCTCTCTCTCTCTCTCTCTCTCTCTCTCTCTCTCTCGCTCTCGCTCTCCCAAGCCTAGCTTGCCCACAAAAAAAAAAATGAAAAACAAATAAATAATAAATAAGGAAGCCCTCACGCCTCTCTCTCTCTCTCCCTCTCTCTATAATAACCGAAACTCTCCTCAAACTCACCAACTACCTCCCCCCACTCTTTTCTCCTTCGCGTTACACAGCAGCAGCTCCCCACCTCCCTTGTCGGAAATTGGCCAACGTCGTAGGAAAATCCAAAGCCAAGCCAACTTTCCATAGAGCCTCCCAAAACTTCTGCATCCTTAATGAAATTTTTAGCCCTTGGCCTGAACAACCCAACCCACACCACCTCCGCCATCGGAAACCGCCGTCGCCGCCGGAAAAGCCCTTTAAAGTTCACAACCACCTTTCAATTTTACACGAAAAACTCTTCCGAAACTGACCCAAATTGTTATATTAGACTTCTTTGGTTCTTAGGAAGCCAGATCTATTATTTCCCATTATTTTGGCAGTTGCTAATGCCTCCTCCAAGCGAGGTCAAGTCAACTCCGGTGAACTTCCAATCCGACATAAAAACGACATCAAACCGAAGCTACAAGGAGTCTGGTACGTTCAAGGGAGTCTATTTATTCAAACTTAATTGATGACAAACCTCTTAGACCCAGGTATATGTTTTAAATCAAAACGATAATCTCGGACTATCCTCCTTTCCAGATTGAAAAATAGACCATAAAACACCCAAGTATCTGTATGGATGCGATCTACTATTTGAGTTGAACAAAACAAGCCCAATAACATTAAATTTGGTTGAGAATCGACGGAGAACGGACTCTTGGAAGTTTCAGCCATCGGTTCTCTTCCATGCGTCGCAGGCTTCGGTGTCGCGGGCGTTACGTGAAGGTGATGACACTTAGCAATTTTTTCAATTTTTTTTTATTCAAGAAATTTTAACTAAACTTCAAAATTGCATAACCTTTTGCAAAAAAATCAAAAAAAAAAAAAAACCGAAATATGCTTGAACTCAAAAAAAGGAGGAAAATTTTTCAAAACTAAAATCACGATTTTTTATTAAGAAAATATTTTTAAATTAATTTTTAAAATTCTAGAGTATTTAAATCATAAAAATTAAAATATAAATTAAAAAAATATGAAATTTGGCAGAGATATTAAATGGCTTGGAAACAATCTTGTCTAATTTTTCTAAGTCATTTTGATTTCTCTGTAGGGAGATTTTTTTTAGTGAAACAGGTCATTTTAAATAATTAAGAAAAATAAGAAATATGGAATTTCCAAATCCCCATGAATTTTGTTCTTTGACTTTAAACATATCTTGGAAACCTTAAACCATATTTAAAACCATCTTAATAATCATAATTCACAAATTAGGGGAGTATGTTTGAGTTAGGTTAGGTTAGCCTAACTCGAGCTTAAGTTAAACCTACTCTAACATATTTGTCGGTCTCCTAACATTAGTGGGACTGATCCGAATTCTTTCCCTTAGGGTTAACCCAATTCTTGGTTAGCTAATTTTGGGATTGGATTACTTAGCCACCAAACCTAATGTACATATGCTCAAACCTTAGAATTAGTCATCCTAAGCTAATAGGATTAGCTAGCCTAAACATGAGGTTAATTAACCCTAATCCATAAGATTAGCTAGCCTAAACCCCTAGGTTAGCTAACCCTAAATCAATAGGATTAACTAAGCCTAAACCTTAGGCTAGTTAACCCTAAACCAATATGATTGGCTAATCTAAACCCTACGTTAGTTAACCCTAATCCATAGGATTAGCTTAGCCTAAACCTTAGGTTAGTTAGCCCTAAAGAAATAAGATTAACTAAGCTTAAACCTTAGGTTAGTTACCCTTAAACAAATAGGATTAGCTAAACAAAAATCTCAGATTGGTTAACTCTAAACCAATAGAATTAGTTAACCTAAACTTAGGTTAGCCAACCCTAATACATAGGATTAGCTAAGCCT